CCAACAAATAAAGGCTAGCAAGGAATGCCGAAGGAGTCGTCTTATGCAGCGTGCCCCCATCGAAGCGCTCTTGCAGATATTGTAGGACCGAGTTAGCCCCTGATGGCCAAGCACGCCCCTCGGCTTGCTCAAGCCATCTGAAGAATGGCTCCCACGCCAGAGCCCGATTCTTCAAAGTACTGCCGCGCCTGCTACCGAAGGCCCGCATCCAAGCCGCTGCCGGATCATCCATGGCCTGAATCCGAGAAACTGACGGCAATCCTGCTGCTACCAAGTAGGCCGCAAGCCTGAGGACCCACTTCTGCTTCATAGCCTCTTCTTTGGCCTTGAAAATGTCTTGAACTCGAACACAGCTGCACACATATGCACATGAGTGAACATGACCAACATGCACTGCAAGGGCAAAACTGTACATGTCCCAAAATCTCATCACGAGAAAACAAATGCAAAATATTTGGAAAGCAAGAAAATATGGGCACCGCCAAGGTACCGAAATCATTGTCAGGCCTGCTTGTTGACCGTTGTACGCAACTGCTTGTTTTGCTTCAATTGCCTCTCCAGCACTGACAAACCAAGAAGCAGATTGTTGTTGACTAGGCCCTGAAAAGTCTCTGCAGCGTCGGGACGTGGCAGGGCCTTGACATAAGGACCGCTTTCAACTGCCGCCCGAATACTCCTGATCAAGTGGCCCTGCAAAGAACGGTATCTAAGACACCATGCCCAGAGGCCAGATGCAAGCTTGTGAACCTCTTCTTGCTTCAAGATGCCGGTCATGACACATTGCACCAGTGCCGTGGCATCAGCTTCGTCAACCACAGATAAACAGAACGTACCCAGATTTGGGAACTCAGATTTGACCTTGTCAGCGAAACGCCCATTCAGATTGGCCAGATCATCCCAGGCCTTCCCACTAAAGATCTCATCTTTTGCACCCAGAGACATGCTTCAAGTAAGTTCAAGAGTAATGGAGTCTTCTAAATCTTCCTTCAACTCAAGCGAAGCGCAGCGCAAATTGAACCTGCTCTGAAAATCCAAGAACAGCCACACGGCAGTGAGCAGCTTTGGGTTGTAGGCAACGCACTCCCAGTCACCGATGGAAATTCGACTGTCAGCAGAGTCACCAGTGTGTGAACCAGAGTCAGCACTAGCGAAATCAGACTGGACCTCAGAGCCGCTCATATTTAACCATTGCACCGCAGGTCACTAACGTCCCTACACTCAAAAAATTGTCTCAGGCCAAAACTGCAATCAAGCAAAGGATTCTTCCACTCAAGAATGGTGCGAGGCAGGCCGAACTCAAGGAAAATGGAAATACTTCCCAAGAAAACCAAACAAGAAGTCAAGAGGAGAATTTTGTTTTTCCCCGAAGTTCCCACACCCAACCCAACTTCCCCACATGATCCCAACCCACCACCCACTCTCAAGGCTCCCAGACTCACGCATGGACAAGTCCAGCACGCAAGACCGTACGCTGTAGTAGATCGGCAATCGGTCTGGAGGCAAGTTTCCAGGCAACGCTCGGCACGTAGTGCCGCGGCAACGCCTTGTGCGCTGGCAGCTGGGCGAGCGCATTGGCGAAGCGGTCCGCGTCAAGTGTGATAGTGCCTGGTTCCGCTAGTGCGACCGGGAGATTACCCGTGTAAACAGTTTGCCAAAAGTTTTTGATTATTCGAAGTTCACAAGCTGGGGAGACCATTTTTCCCTCCTTATTACGGATCTGTGGCCTAGGCCGGCGGGTTCTAGGAGCTACTCTATTAATGATGGCATGGAGAGTTCGGACATCTCCTTTCTCAGAAGCTACGGCAGCTTGTCTAAGCTGCTCCTCGAAAAATTGAGCTCGCTTGAGCTTGGAGAACTCTCGGACGGTCTTTTGCGCTTGCTTGAAGGCGTTGCGCTGCGCTTGCAGGTCCTCTTTAGTAGCTCCTGCCCCTCTTAGCTGCTTGCAGCAAGCGGTACCTCTCCCACATGTACCTAACCGGTTGCTCCGCAGTGACAGGCTTTGGCTGACGCTCAGGGCTTTCAGAGACGAGATACTGCTCGGCCGCAGAAGTAAGTGCAGCATTGACCGCTGTCGTGTCCCATGTCTGCATGCTGTGCAATGTGGAGCTGATCTCAGTCAAGAAGCCGCTCTTGTCGGCAGTAGGGCCCAGACCTCTTCTCAGAGTTTGAGCTCGACCCCCATCCTGCAGTGTGGCCTGACGAGGGTGGCGCCAGAACCGAGTGGGGATACTGGCTATGACTGGGTGGTGAAGCATAACCTGAGGCGTCTTAGCAGTCGAGTCTGCGCTGCGCCCGTACTATGACGTAGTCAATCTGGCTTTTCCTGGAGTCGTGTGAGGTGAAGGTGTGCTTGCCAGACTGAGGACAGAACGTGTTGAGGGCTCGAAGGTCAAATTGCTTGAGGAGTCCCTGCAGATCTGGGACTCGCGCTGCTCCAGTAACTGCCGAGCCTGTACACGGGGGCCTGTGCTCCAGGGATGTATTGAAGTCACCTGCGATAACGAGCGGGTACCGGCTTGGTGCATGTTGAAGCTGTTTTTGCAGTGCATCTAGGACCTGGGCTCTGGTCTGCTTGGCCTCCTGCGTTCCATTCCAGACCTTCTGGTAGACGTTGATAAGGTGCAAGACTTGCTGGCCCTGTTGTACTCGGGCAGAGAGGACCCGGCCTGAGACAGCAACCTCCTTGCGAATCGTGGCGTGCGGAAATGTGGCCTTGGCCAGCATGATAAGGAGGCCAGTGTGCCTCCTATCACATCCAAGCTTGCGGGAGTGTCGGGCTTGGCTTTAATCATGATCCCGAGCCAGTGCGTTTCCTGGATCATGACAATGTCGGGGCCCTGTCTGTTCCTTTTCTGGATGTGAAGCCAGGCAAGCAGTTCTGTGTATAGTGATGAGTAGAGAGGCCACCCGCATTGTAGCTCATAACGGTAATTCTTCCTGTTCTGACCAGGGGACGCGGTGGATTGTGAGATCGGCGTGGCTCTAACAGAGGGCTTTGTTGGCTAGGGGGATCTGTACTTTGTACGGCTCGCAAGGTTCGCCCACGATACTGGGCAAGGCCTGCGCTTCGTGCTCTTGCAGTGGCTCTGCGGAAGGCTATTTTTCGGATAGCCGTGCTTTGTCGTTGAGGTCCCTCCGCGCAGGTTTTCGCCTCTCTCGTAGTGGCTGAAGTGTGACTTCCGGTTGAGGCTCCCATCATCGTTGCGGGTCCGATGACAACCCTCAGCTTTCCCGGGCCTGTTCCTGCTCCCTCTGCTAGCGAGGTGTGACTGATAAGTAGCAGAAGAGCAAAGAGCAAGTAGCGATGTTTGCAATCCCGGCGCTGGGACTTGGGACCCAGCTCGGCTCNNGTCTTTTGGTGGTAGTCAGGGTTGATAACCTTAGGAGCACCAGGCGGGTGTTCCTGCGCCGTATCAGCGCATGGTAACTGAGCAGGAGAAGTGCAATGGCAGCACACAGTAAACCTAGCTGTTTCAACGCGCTGAGTTGACAGGCGTCCCTGTGACTCAATCCTGGGCAGGCATGGCTGGGCACGAGGGTAACCCTCA